TCTGTGGGGTGAGATACTTGTTTGCTGAGATGTCCGGCCCATGATCAATTTATTTCAATACACATTCAACGGAGCTGAATCTTAAAATATGTTATCTCTATGAAATAGAGTTATCGTCTCGGCTGTTGGATTCACCATTTTCCATGTAATTTCCCCACAAACGCCAATTTTAAAACGTCTGAAAACATAAACATTATTTTCTCGCGTTAGAGTTCGATTCATTTCACATTTCGTGTTATCAATGTTTGCTTAAAGATTATCGCTGAATATTTGTGTGTACCCTCCAAGGGAACTCGAGCCTCGACTGTTGGTGTGGCTGCACCCATACTGAGATACCGGTCAACAAGACGGATAGAGCCGCCTTGGCAGCCAGCGAGTCGGAGAAGATCAAGACAGAGCTTTTGCTGGACACAGAGGTACTGAAAGATCTATAAGCATGTCTTTTTTGGTCATTTTTAAACACATAACATAGATTTTATCACATGTAATTCATGCTATAAACATGTCATCGTTAATATAACTCCATGGAGTATCGATACTGTAGCCTTCCACGAGTATCGCTCAATCAAAGTGGCTTTTCCGCACCACCGGACATGTCAGGCAAAGAGGCTGTATCGGAAGTTAACATAATCGATTCCGCCCGTAGCTTCCCGCTGGCAGCGCGGCACGGCTGGCATCTTATCGTGAATAGCATCCAATGTTATATACATTTATGGACACAGCATTGACTGTCAATGTTACCATTTATGGACACAGCATTGACTGTCAATGTTACCATTTATGGACACAGCATGAACTGTCAATGTTACCATTTATTGACACAGAATTGACTTTCAATGTTACCATTTATAGACACATCATTGACTGTCAATGTTACCATATATGGACACAGCATTGACTGTCAATGTTACCATTTATAGACACAGTTTTGACTGCCATTGCTAACATTTATGAACACCGCATTGACTGTCATTGCTACCATTTATGGACGTGGCTTTGACTATCATGGCTACCATTTATGGACACAGCAATGACTGTCAATGTTACCAGTTGTTGACACAGTATTGATTGTCAATATTCCCAATTATCTATAAAGCATTGCCTGTCAATGTTACCATTTATTGACAAAGCATTGATTGTCAATATTATCATTTATTGACACAGCATTGACTGTCAAATTTACCATTTGTTGACATAGCATTGACTGTCAATGTTATCATGTATTGATACATCATGGATTGTGACTATTACCATTTATTGGTAAAGCATTGAATGTCAAGGTTACAATTTATTGGCAAAGCATTGGATGTTTATTTTACGATTTATTGACACATCATGGATGGTCAATTTTACCATTTATTGATTCAGCATTCACTGCCAATGTTACCATTTATTGACAAAGCATTGACTGTCAATGTTACCAATGCATCGATACAGTTTGACTGTCAATGTTACCCTTTATTGACAAAGCATCGGCTCTCAATGTTACCATGTATTGATACAGCATTGACTGTCAATGTTACCATGTATTGATACAGCATTGACTGTCAATGTTACCATGTATTGATACAGAATTGACTGTCAATGTTACCATTTATTGACAAAGCATTGGCTCTCAATGTTACCATGCAGCGATACAGCATTGACTGTCAATGTTACCCTCTATTGAAAAGGTATTGGCTCTCAATGTTACCATGTATTGATTCAGAATTGACTGTCAATGTTACCATTTATTGACAAAGCATCGGCTCTCAATGTTACCATGCAGCGATACAGCATTGACTGTCAATGTTACCCTCTATTGACAAGGTATTGGCTCTCAATGTTACCATGTATTGATTCAGCATTGACTGTCAATGTTACCATGTATTGATACATCATGGACTGTCACTATTACAATTTATTGACAAAGCATTGACTGTCAATGTTACCCTTTATTGAAAAAACATTGACTCTCAATGTTGCAATGCATCGATACAGCATTGACTGTCAATGTTACCCTTTATTGACAAAGCATTGACTGTCAATGTTACCATTGACTGACAAAGCATTGAATGTCAATGTTACCATTTATTGACATATCATGGACTGCCAACGCTACCGTGCTCCCAAGAAAGAAATCCACAGCTCGGTAAAAACAAATAGTAGACCATCGCCCTTAGCGGAGCCACACGTCATACCAATTTTAATTTCTGGGCACGTGAATTACCAGGATGCATCTATCTTCATTTCAGTCTGTTCAAATGTCGCTTTGAAGAGCTCTCAAATAAAAAAAAATAATAATTTAGAAAACACTCAACACATTTTGTTTAAAATTTATCAAAAGATGTGTCTATTTGGACCCAGGTCTCGGAATTGAGAGGTTGGGGTAAAAATAAATGATTAAGGTTGGGTTGTAAGACAAATTAAATATTGTTGAATGCACTATATGTTTGTAAAATTACTTCTTCGGTTTAACCAAAATAAACTACCACAAATGACATCCGAATAGCATTTAGTCTAAAGGGACCCGGGTCCGAATAGCGGTTATGCGTGTTTGTCATACCCTTTCATTTACGTTTATGCCATCTGACCCTCTATTTACGTTTACGAGTCCAGTCTCTCTCATTTACTTATATGCCCATTGTCTCTCTCATTTACGTTTATGCCCAGTCTCTCTCATTTATGCACATGCCCACAGTCTCTCTTCTTTACGTATATGTCCGCAGTCTCTCTCATTTACGTATATGCCTGCAGTGTCTATCATTTAAGTATATCTCCGCAGTATCTCTCATTGATTTTTTCAATCTCATTTACGTATATGCCTTCAGACCCTCCCATTTACGTTTATGTCCAAAGGCCCTGTCATTTACGTTGTTGCCCTCAGACCCTCCCATTTACGTTGATGCCATCAGACCCTCCCATTTACGTTTATGCCTCCAGGCCCTCCAACTTACGTTTATGCCCTCAGGCCCACCCATTTACGTTTCTGCCCTCAGGCCCTCCCATGTACGTTTCTGCCCACAGACCCTCTCATTTACATTTACGCGTACAGTCTCTCTCATATACGTATGTGCCCGCAGACCCTCTCCAAGACCGTGCGGAGGAAGACGAGCGCCAGTGACGACCGACCGTCCGCCCAGAGGATCGGCTACACGGGGGTCGCCATGCTGGTCACCGCGGCCCTGCTGATAGTGTTGATGGACGTCAACTACGTCATCAGGAGCGTGCACGGGGTGGCGGTGAAGTTAAAGAGCAAATCGACCTAACGGATGTGTGAAATCTTGTAACCCTTTCACTCTTCCGCTGGTAGCAATCTCTCATTTAGTTAAGATTACAGCAAACATCAGATTTTTTTTTTGAAATACTACATTAAAAAAAATTATTGCAAGCACGTTTTGTAAATATATGTTTCTTTTTTTTAAATATAAAAAAGTCACATGAACGTACGTATTAAAAATAGAACCCACTGATAAACTTTTTTTGGTTTAAAACCTAGTTCCTCTTGCGTGGCATTTCTAAACGTTCAGATTTACGCGAATCCTATATGACCTTTGTTTAGAAAGCGAAGTATAGGGAACACACCAACAACCAAACCGAAAACCCAGCATATCTTACTTTTAAAACTGTGTTGGGTTGTGTAATTAGCTCTCCTCTATAGGGTAATCCCGATATTGGGGATACTCGATGGACCTATTTCAAAAAAAATCTAATAATTAAACATTAAACATCGAAAGGGAAAGGCTAAAGATAACACCCTAAAGAGTGAGTAAATGCAAATAAATTAAATATATATTATGGGATATATTTATGTATAAAAAGATTTTTAACCGCTGGTTGAAAACGCAATGAGTTATCCTATAATGGTTTTTTTTTTGTTGTTGTTTTTTTTACCTTGATAACAGTATTATTAAAACGCCACCAATTTACTTTTATATTGGTCACAAATGCCCGTATATTTTTATTTTTTTACGATAATTAAGACATGATTTTAAAATTTATTCGGGACTGTCTTAAACAAGGGCCACTACTGTGACATTTTTATTGCTCCTGTTAAAAGAAACACAGTTATCTTTGCTTCCCTTAATTTGTCCTTAAATTCAACAAACTTTGATGAACTGCTTAGGTGGACGCATTCCAATTAGTTTTGGGAATATCTGTAATTCCAAAAAGGGAATTGATGATATATTAATGAATGGACTCTATGCTGTATGCTGTGATTTTATATGAATTGTGTGAAGTCTAATGTTGTGCATGAAACATTTTTTTAAAGCACATAACATTTTTTAAAAAGCAAATTGCTACAACAACCCCCCCCCCCTCCCTTTTCCCGCGCCTGCGCGCATCAATTTACCCTCTACATTCATTTAATCCTAGATCAGTGTTTCTAAAACTGTAGTGCGTTATATTTTTTCTCTCCCTTTTCCCGCGCCTGCGCGCATCAAATTACCCTCTACATTCATTTAATTCTAGATCAGTGTTTCTAAAACTGTAGTGCGTTATATTTTTTCTAGCTATTCGGGGGTGGGGGGGGGGGTAGCTGGTCAGGGGAACCCGACATCTCCCCCCTCCCCCCTTTCCAACTGCTGGCGTCAATGTTTTAGTTTTTTAAAGCAGTACAGCACAGTAGTATTTAGTGCTCAAAGGATGGTTAACGCTGGAATCCCTATCAATTTTTTGTTACCTACGCCCCTGCAGGTACTGGAGAGCCATTCAAAACTTCGCAGGAACATCCGTTTACAAGTACCGAGCCTGAACTAAAAGTTGCGCCCGCTGTTAAACACATGAGGCCCTAGGTTGTCATCTAACTCCAATACCTTTCAGATAGTGTGAGATTCACCAGTCTAAAAATAGATTAACGCGGGCCTTTTCGTTTTCATTTAAAGACTTCTAAGTTAGGAAAATGAAAGTCATTAAGTACCCCCCACCCCACCCCCTTTTTTTAAACACCACACTTATTTTATTTACATTACTGTTGTCAGTAACGTGACGCCTGTTGTCATTTAGCCTCTGACCACACTATTAGTGTGGATGGCGACACCCGAAGGTTGAGAACCGCTGCATTAGGGTATGTTTTTTTTTCTTCTTAAGAATTAAAACTTCTTTGAGATTTTACAACCAGTTAAGGCGTTTCTTAGTTTTTTTAAACGTCCTCTTTTAGCAACTAGACTTAATCTGTACACACTCTTAATGATTAGATGTACACACACACACACACAAAAATGTCAATAAGTAGGTTAATAAGTTATCTAAATCTATGATCAGTAATTTTAATTTAGCTTATTAGGAGGCTCGCAAATTTGTATATTTTTTTCTCGACTACACAGCATGCTTATTTGTAAATGTGGATACTTTTTTTAAAGACACATCTCATGAAGCTGTTTTCTGATCTACATAAATCTATTTCTATAAATACCAATGAATATTACTTTGAAAAGTCTTGACTAATTTTTTGTTGTTGAAATTGTATAAAAACAAATTATTTTATTTTTCTGTCCATGTGTTGCTTTTTTTTGTCTGACACATTCATGAATTTTTACATTGGTTGCAAAAATAAAGAAAATATTATTGAAAAATAATAGTTGCTGCTAAACCAATTTTTTCTTGAAAACTGTCTTGCACATGTGCTTCGCCATCTGAAATGACAGAAAAGAAAGCTTTGGATGGATACAAACAAAATCTATAATTGATCTCAGTAGGAAGCAATTATTTCAAGACTTGATTTTTCATGACAAATTCTCTTTTTTTTTTTAAATTAAAAATTTGGTACAAAAAGAGCATGCAATTTACTTGGCGAATTTTCATTTTTTTTTTAAATTTAAATATAAATATTTCAAAAGCTAAACATACAAATTTGTTTTTAACATTCTCAGGCTAATTATTATAATATATTTGATTTGAATAAACTGAATGACTCATACTCGATGGATCACTAAAGAACTGTACCGCTAAAATTTAAATATAGTTATTTTAATATGAGGATATCTTACATAATGTAATTTTAAAATGTCGATATCCTAAAAATGTAATTTTAAAATGAGGATATCCTAGAAATGTAATTTTAATATGAGGTCATCCTAAAAATGTAATGTTTAAACAAAAAAAATTGTTTAATATTTGATGCGATCATGTTTGGGGAACATGAATCAATTAATTTTTTCTTGTGTGCTTAAGCTGAAAATTTAAATTAAAAAAAAAAATGAAAGAAAATTGAGAAATTACATTTACTACTATTGAAACCGAGAATGAGAGTCTACTGGAGCGAGATCGGGGAGATTTTGTCATCCCTCCTATCAGATGACTTGTAACGGGGCAATTCATAAGAGAAAAGGGGGGGGGGCATTACCTGAAAGAAATGGGGCACGTCCATCAAGACGATAACGAGTGCCACCGTGGCCATGATGACCACCCCGAAGTAGCCGATGCTCTTGGCTGACGGTCGCTGGTCGGGTATGCTGATTTTTCTTCTAATTGTCTGGGATAAGATCTGAGAAATTCAAAGGAATACAGATTATCGGACACTTTCAGTAAATCCGCGTAATGTATATAAACCATTATGTTCTTGGCCGCGGCATCTTGCATACACATCAATATGCTTTGGGGGTTTCGGCAGTTTCTAGTGCAGTTATTGGAGATTTTTAGTTTACGCGCCGCATGGATTGTCATTTAATGTTGGAAATCTATTAATAGAAGATCCGGGGATACCGTCTGGCCGAGCTCATTGAAATTGTAATGGAACATCCTTTGGCCGATCTTTCAACAGGTGTTCGTTACTTACAGGTTAAGTGAGCCGGCGTAGGGAGTCTTAACTTAGACGAAAACAGTTTACAATTTATTTTACGAAAGATTTCACAAACAAATTGTTACTGTTCTAGATGTGTGGAAATACATTGTGATAAGCTAAGTTTTACGAAAAATTGTATAAAAATAGCAACGTTACGTAATGCGATGTGACTTTTTCCGGTCTTAGAAATAACAGACACCTTTGGGAGTTCCATCGTGACATCCACTTATTCCAGTTTAAAATGATTTAATCACTTCGCTGGCAACCGTCTATGCTTACCTTAGTGCACATATAGCAATTAACTGTCTCGGAATTGAAGTTGTTTCAAGTTATAAAAAAAATATGGTTAATATATCAACTAAACTATTATATAAAAAAAAAATAAAATACAAATAAATGCTTTGCATAAATCAGAGATTCCCCAAAACAGTGTCTTCTATTACTCGAATCTCGTAACTTAGGTCTTGTGATGTAGCTTGTCATCCAGGGTCTTGTTCTGGGTCTTGTCACTTAAGTCTATTTCTCTATCTTTTGTTTTGGTTCTTGTTCTGAGTATTCTCCCTTAGGGTTCGTTGGAAAATTACGTCACCTTCAGGGGGTAGGGGGGTCGAGAAATTGTGACAGGGGGAGGGGGGGTCAAAACTTTGTGACGTCACGATTAAATTTTGTTTTAAATCTAAAATTTTCAAATTTTGAAAAATCTTTTTCAAACTAATTTTAAAAACATTAATTTGAGGTCGGGATTGCTTCTGTTATTATTGGTATCGTGAACCTCAGTCGAGCATACCTGCTGCGCATATCGAAAAATGACGCAAAAACTTTTGTGGCCATTTTACATTCGACTTGTGGATGTCTTGATTCTTTCGCGTCCCAGTTTCCTAATAATACTACATATTAATAAATTTTTGGAAAATGTTAAATAATAAAATAAAATCTTAGTTTAGTTATGGACATTTTATGTATGTTGTAATAGTTTTAGATGTGACGTGACACTAGGGCGGTTGGGGAGGACAAAAGAATTTGTGACAATTTGTGACAGGGTGGGGTCTAAAAAGGTCACTTTTAGCGTGACGTAATTTGCGAAAGACTTTTTTTGGGGTCTATTTCTTTATTTTGTCACTTGGTTCTGGTAGTGTATTTTGGAACTTAGGTCTTGTTCTGTGCCTTGTCACTTAGGTCTATTTCTGTATCTTGTCGCTTAATTTTGGTTACGTGTCTTGTCATGCAGGTCTGATACCCTATCTCGTCACGAAAGTTCCGATGCCCTATCTCGTCACGAAAGTTCTGATACCCTATCTCGTAACGAAAGTTCCGATGCCCTATCTCGTCACGAAAGTTCCGATGCCCTATCTCGTCACGAAAGTTCTGATACCCTATCTCGTAACGAAAGTTCCGATGCCCTATCTCGTCACGAAAGTTCCGATGCCCTATCTCGTCACGAAAGTTCCGATGCCCTATCTCGTCACGACAGTTCTGATACCCTATCTTATAACGAAAGTTCTGATGGCCTATCTTGTAGCTTGTTGAAATCAGTAGCTAAGCATTTCAACGTTGACCTCCCAGTATATCCTTTCCCAAAATAAACGTCAACTTCCGGCCGACCTTTAAGTTACCCGAACAACAAAGAATTACCTGTTTTTTTTTTTTTACATCCCACTCCAGTCATTTGTGACCAATAGCCGGGAGTATTTTACTATATTACAAATGGCCACCTGCATGGCCAAGTGCAATCGGATTTTTTTTATACTAAAAAAATGAATAGGAAGAACAGTTTTCACCAAGGAACAAAAAAAGCGAATCAACCGGTGTAGTTAGTAATGCGTTGAAATCGGAGCACTGGCCTAACTAAAATATCCCCCCTCTACCACTCCAGGACTGTTTGGCGCAAACATGATAGCTAGGGTACCGATACTATCGATATTATCGAAAAATCGATATTGTTCAAAATACCTTAGCGATCGGCTGGCCCTGCTAAACAGTCAAATGCTCAACAGATCAAAATTAGAACAGAAATATGTTTTTGTTTTCGTAATTTATTTATCATAAATTGTTGAAATAAACTTAAAGAAATGTTTTTAGTTATTTTTTAAAAATATTGTGTTATAAGTTTCTATTAAAGAGTGCGTTGATGTTAAGTGCTCCACTCAATACGTAGGAAATGTTACACGGTCCGGTCGACTTTTGAGTCTAACCAACAGAATAATAGATGAGCTTGGTTATGAGCACGTTGTCAGTGAGTAAGCTTAGTCGGGCGTTATTTAAAAGGTGGTCCGCGGACCGGCTCTGGTCCGCAAACCTTACGTTGCAGGTCCCTACAATGTGAATATTCTTGGCAAATAAAAGAGAAAATGTAACTAATAAGTCTGAAAAAAGTCCCTGTACAAAAGGTAACTTGTCCACCGGTCACTGGTCCAATGGGGAACGTGTCCACTGGTCCCTGGTCCAATGGGGAACTTGTTCACCGGTCCCTGGTCCAATGGGGAACTTGTCCACTGGTACCTGGTCCAATGGGGAACTTGTGCACTGGTCCCTGGTCTAATGGGGAACTTGTCCGCCGGTCCCTGGTCCAATGGGGAACTTGTCCACCGGTCCCTGGTCCAATGAGGAATTCCCTGGTCCAATGGGGAACTTATCCACCGGTCCCTGGTCCAATGGGGAACTTGTCCACTGGTCTCTGGTCCAATGGGGGACTTGTCCACCGGTCCCTGGTCCAATGGGGAACTTGTCCACCGGTCCCTGGTCCAATGGGGAACTTATCCACCGGCCCTCGTCCAATGGGGAACTTGTCCTCCGGTCTCTGATCCAATGGGGAACCTGTCCACCGGTCCCAGGTCCGCTATATAATTTGTCCCTCTGGCCCCTGAGCCACCTGCCCGTCAGACTGAAAAGTTTGGGAGACGCTAGCTTGGACCCATCTTACGTTAAGTCTCTGGGCGAAATTATTTAAATTTTCAAAGAAGGGTGGGCAACACTGATAGTGGGACCAAATAAACATTAAACCTTTTAGATTATTATGTGGGGCGTAGGACCTAAAAAGGTGGGGGAACACGGTGTTAAAGGAAACGTGATATTCAGTTATCTTTTAGAAGTGAATGGTTACCTGCTTGTCCACGGTCAAGTCTGCTACGATCTTGACCGCTGCACTGATGCCCAGTTTCTGCAGTTGCAGGCCGGTCAGCGTGACATTCGTGTGTGCACAGCTACAGGAGCAGTCACCTGAACAGAGTGGATTTACTCTAAGTGGTAGTACATTTAGAGACACGCGTGTAATTTTTAGACATTCGTGTTACAGTCCTCTTGATTTTAAAACCACCCTGTTTTGTTATGATGCATATCCTACGTTACCATAGTTAAGATACGTTTTCTTTCAGCCAAAGACTCTTCGGAGATACGATAAGATGGGGAGACGATAAGATGGGGAGACGATTAGATGGGGAGACGATAAGATGGGGAGACGATAAGATGGAGAGACAAGAATTCAATGAACTTAAAAGTGATGACGAGTTGCACCAACAATTAATAACACGCCATCATGTGTATTATATCAACACAATGACACGTTCCTCATTTTCAAAACAATTTAAAAATTACCTTGTGTGATTATTTGGCCGTGGCATATGTCTTCTGAGGAGAGGCAAAGCAAGGTTTTAATTTTATTTTATAAGAGCTTTGTTCACATATATAAAGGTTTTGTTCATATATATACTGAATGTCTGCACACAATTAAGGGATTTGTTCACATATATTAGAATTTTGTTCACATATATAAGGGATTTGTTCATTTATATAACGTCACTACACTACGTAAAATTAGTTATTATTAAAATAATTGTAAAAATAATATATTTAATTTATAAAACATTTTGTGTCAGTTCTTGTTTTCTTTCTTTTTTTAACTTTTTTTTTTTCCCTTGAGAAAATAAACCAGTTTTTAAATTCTGTAATGACGTTTTTAGCAAAAATACTGTTTGAACTATAGTTTTATTATTTATTTAGTTTTTTAAAAGCCAATTTTCCATTGTTACCTATAGCGACCATGAACATAGTGATGGCGAGCCACACGCTTGACCTCTGCATGTTGTTAACGGTGAATTGAGCGTTGATACCTTTTAATATAAAAAAAAAAAAAGAAAAAAGCTGGAAAAATTATAAATAAAATCATTTCTTGTTGTTGTTGACTATTACTCGTGAATTTCTAGCGTGATAGCATTTAGTCACAAAACTATGTTACCGTAGCTGAAAATGTTGATAGCATTTAGTCACAAAACTATGTTACCGTAGCTGAAAATGTTGATAGCATTTAGTCACAAAACTATGTTACCGTAGCTGAAAATGTTGATAGCATTTAGTCACAAAACTATGTTACCGTAGCTGAAAATGTTGATAGCATTTAGTCACAAAACTATGTTACCGTAGCTGAAAATGTTGATAGCATTTAGTCACAAAACTATGTTACCGTAGCTGAAAATGTTGATAGCATTTAGTCACAAAACTATGTTACCGTAGCTGAAAATGTTGATAGCATTTAGTCACAAAACTATGTTACCGTAGCTGAAAATGTTGATAGCATTTAGTCACAAAACTATGTTACCGTAGCTGAAAATGTTGATAGCATTTAGTCACAAAACTATGTTACCGTAGCTGAATAAGAAATAAAATAATGATTTTTTAAAAAATCCTGCTTTTGGCTTTTGACAATATGTTGGCTGTGTAGTTTGTATTCAAAAGAAAATATTTCAGTGGCCATTAGTTTTGTGAACACAACTAATCATATGCTCGAAACATAAGCAATATAAAAAAAAAAAATTGGTCCATCGTAAACGATAGTTTATTGAGAAAAACACCAGAAAAGCTGAGTGCTTTTTTTCCCGCCGTAAAAATATAAATAAATGCCTTACATTAGACGGCATTAAGCTTATTTAGATTCTTGTATAATATTTGGTTTCATTAGTTGTATATTTATATACACATCATCAATTAGAATCACCAGTAGAAATCAATTTGCTTCGCGTCTGTGTTAGATCATCTCACTTCCTGCACATACAAAAAGAGAAACACATAAACAAAAATGTATCCATTTTTTTAATGGCCCCCCCCCCACCCCCCGTCAACACAAAGCATGTGTGTCCATGACCAGTATGTTGATGGCAGTGTTGTGCCGGGCCTAACCGTGCGGAACTGGCTGACCTGCAGTCTAAACAAAATCAATTATGGGACTTGATACTGCGCAATGGTGAAGAAGGCGAGTCCCCGCTGGTGGAGAGGGGGTGGAGGGGTCTGGATAGCAACGAGAAGCCGGTCATCCAACACTGACTCCAACTGGACGCAAAAGTCGGCCCTAGCTTGGGCGGTTTGGGGGGGGGGGATGTTTGCGAGCTACGAAAATAAGTTTACGAATGCGCATAATTCTTTAGGTATGAAGGAAGTTGTAGTGCGATGATGAGTTCAAAAGTGCGCAAAATGAAATACCCGATAACTGCACTAAATGCTTGAAATTACCGCAGCAGTGCGTTTGGTGCGTAATATTTTCGTTTGTTTGACGGAAAGTGAAACAGTCTCAATTTGGTGTAATGG